AGGAGTGGTGGTCGCTAACCTTCTGTTAGCAGCACAGCACCTAACGGTTTTACCACCAGGGCTCCTGTCTCCCACCCCTGGGACCTCCACAGGGAAGTCATTCTGCCAAACCCAGGACTCACCCAAAAGGCGCCGTTGTCAGGGTCATGCAGCCAGTCAGCGAGATGCCGGCAGTCGAAGTCGCAGAGGCACATGGAAAAAAAGGGACAGCAGTGAGACACACAACCAACACACAAGCCCCATGAGCCCCCTGCCCAGCTGGGGCCGGGCCAGCCAGGACACCCTGCCCTCCCTGTGGCTGATGCTCAGCAGACACCCTTCTAATCAGGGCCCAGTCCTCAAGAGGCAGCAGGGTCTCGACAATCGTTCAACCAACACTGGCTGAGCACCAACTGGGTGCAGGGTGTTGAGATACAGTTTGAAGGAGATACAGTGGTCCTGACCCTCATGGGGCCTAAAGTGCTGTGTGGAGAGACCCACATGGATAATGAGCCACTCAGACCCTGATTCCACTAGCATTGTGGCATCAGACTAACAGAGCCCAGATCTGGCTTTGTGACCCTGGGTCCCATTTCTTAATCATGTCTTCAATTGGGCCACCTCCCAGGTTGCTGTGCGGGTGAAGTCAGTTAATAGGTATTAAATGGGAATATTCTGAGCAATGCTTGATATACAGTAAACTGTATTAGCTGCTATTATGACAGGAGGCTGGAGGGAGTCCTGGCTTTGGCGGGACCTCCTGTGGGTTACGGTGAAAGGGAACGGACCCGATGGCGGTGGGTCATGTGTGGGTCAGGACACCACCAACTGGCAGGTCCCCTAGAGATTATTGAGACACTAGGCTGGAGGGTGGGGGGACCCTGAGCCCGGTGCCTGGCTGCTGGGTCACTCACTGCTGAGTAAACAGGGGTGGTATTCTTGGGACTGCCCTCCAGCACAGTCAGGGCTGCAGCATCAACAGAGGGCCATCAGAAGTACTCCTCGGCCCCACGAATCCAGAAGGACAGCTTTGAGCTGAACACCAGCCAACCACCACATGTCCACAATAGTGACCAATGCTCCATTGCCTTTGACCTTCATACCAACTCAGGAAGTGGACAAAGGTGCCATGCATACTCTCCTTATTTTACAGAGAAGGCCAGAGAGGTGAAGGGACTCTGCTTCGTGTCCTTGGCTGAGTGAATCACCTCACATCTCCAAGCCTAGTTAAGGGGCTAAGCGGGATTCTAACTCACATCTGCCTAGATTTTGTGGTTATAGGTTTTCCCTCGGCTTGTTGGTTTTCCAGCTCCTCCCCGTCCCCCCGTCCCCCCCCCCACCAACGGCTGCCACCACTCTAGTCTCTGCAGTACTAACTGTATAGCCCCAGAAAAGCTTTGAATCGCCAATCTCAATCTACCATGAACTGCCTGGAGAATAAACAAGTCTGTCTTGGAAGAAAGACAGCCAGAAGGCTCCTTAGAAGCCAGGATGATGAGACTTACTCTCACTTAGGGCTCGTTATCAGGAGGGACCCGGGAAAAGGGCATCATTGCACTTGGTGGAGGGACAAGGACAAAGAGGAAGCCTCTCAGAGATGGATGGACATAGTGGCTGCAACAATGGGCTCACACAGCAACAATTATGAGGATGGCAGGGGACTGGGTAGTGCTCTGTTCTGCTGTCAGCAGGGTTACTATGAGGCAGAACCAATTCAAAGGCACCAAACAACATCAACAACCTCAATCTCTTCTTCATCTGAAATAGCTGTCAAACAGCCAGCCGAGCACATTAGCTGTGTTGAACCCAAACTTCTCCTCCCTAGACTCAGCCACTACCATCGGAGGCCCCTCTTCGAAGCCATCACCCAATGCTGACTTCAGCCACGAGCCCACAGACCAAGGCATGTCTGCACTCATGTTTCACAGATAGGGCAACTGAGACCCAGAGTTGGCCATATGCCTTTCAGTGCCCAGTTCTTGCACCAAGGCTAAGGTGACCAGACGTCCCGCCTTTGGCGGGACAGTCCTGATTTTTAACCATTTTTCCAGCGTCCCGCAGCATTTTTTACAAAGTGCCAATTTTTTGAAAGAATGCACAACAAGCTAGGGTATATGCCTTTCGGCTGATATGTGGCTATTTCGCCAGGATATATGTTTTATCAATGGTGTCCCGCTTTACCAATGTTAAAATCTGGTCACCTTAACCAAGGCAGAAGTCAAGTAAGGTTGGCCCTCTGTAATACTCCTGGGAGCGCCATAACCTTGGGATTGCTTCCTCTGCCCATTCCCCATCCTCCATGCTAGGCAAGTGCAGCCAGGCCTGGTCAGAGGCAGAGCCATGCTCCCCAGTAGGTACCCAGGGAAGGGGGTACAGCCCATTCCCCAGCCTGAATAGCCTAGAGATCTGACTTTGCTCCAGTAAGGGTCAAGCAGTTTCCAAAGATAAGGGCAGGGCAGTGTGGGCACTTCCCCACTAGGAGGCTCCCCTCCCCACACCCCCTACCTTAGTAGGGTCTGAGCTTTGGAATCAGACCAAACTGGGTTCAAATCCTGCCACTTCCTAGCTGTATGACTTTAGTCAATTCACCGTACTGAACTCCTATGAAACCGGGGTAAAACGTCTTTCCCCAGAAGTTTCGAAGTACTAAACAAGTTAAAACTCTATAGTAAAGGCGAAGCACAGAGCGTGGTATGTAAGAAGTGCTCAAGATGAGAGAACATTGGCCAAGAACAGGGCTTGGGGACCCTATCATATTTGACCTTGACCTTGCCACATGCTACCCCCATCCACAGACAGGGAAACTTCAACCAAGGTAAAAATGTGAGTGACTCAAATATTTAATCATCAGAATTCTGGATCTCCCCATCAACAGGGGATGGTCATGTAGTCTGAAAGCCCTGCAAAAAAAATCACAGGCCGCCAGGACCTCTGAGGTAAGGCTTTGGCAAGTATCCTATCCAGCTCTATGGATAGGATATGTGTGGCACAGTAGGTGGTCAGGGAAGGCTTAGGGGGCAACCAAATGAAGGGCTTCTCTGGTTCCACAGCTCTACTCAGGCTTCTTCTCCAGGGGTCTCTCGTTACACCTCCCCTCCCCACTCCCACCTCAGCCTCTGTCTCACCCTGTAGCCCAGGACCCATCAGCTGGGACTGGTTCCAGCTAGCAGAGCCCTGGGCCTCCTCAGGGCCTGTACAGCGTCAGCATCTTCCCAGCCAGGCTGGGATGTTTCTGGCCAGCACCACCAACCAGGCTCCTGGCCAGAGTCCACTCTGCAGAGGGGGTGCTGGCTATGCCCTGGGGGTAGGGCAGCCTGGAGGCTGGGAGAGCTTCTACTGGCACCTGGGTCCTACAGGAGGGACCCTGGCCCAGCCTGGGTGGTACAGGGATGGACCTTTCAGGAGACAGATGGGCGGGTGGCCTCTCGGCCTCTGTGAGTGCCACCCACATACCCAGGCACTCCTTCCACACCCAACATCATTGGGATCTGGCAGGCCCTAGCTCAGGACTTGCCCACACCATTCGCTTCTGAAAATACCCCAGTGACAGGCTCTCTGACCAGCGACCATCCCAGTCTTTATACTCATTGCCTCGTCTGGTTTTAAGACCTGTACAGTCCAAATTATTGACTAAGAAAGAAGTAGGAAGGTAAGGCTCAGAGAGGTGAAGTGACCTTTGCAAGGTCACACAGCAAGAAAGTTGTGGCAGGGCCAGAATTTAACCCCGTATGCAAAACCTACAGGGTACCCGATGTCCCCTTTCCTCTTGCTCTCTCTGCTTCCAGAGCTTTGGGCTCCCTTTCTTCCTCTGCATCTAACCCAAACCTTCCATTTCACTTTGCAAACCCTCCCTTCCCCTATTTCTAGTCTGAATTAATAATTCTCACCTCATGGCTGCTATAACACCTTGTTTACATGCACACAACAGCAGCTGGGTAGGGAAGTTATTTCTGAGGTGTATGTCTCTCGGCTAATCAAGTGGGCCTGGAAGGCAGAGACTGGCCCCAGTCACAGCTTCTTAGACATGACAGCCTGTGACTTCTACCCACCCATCCCCAGTGCAAAAGTCCCTCTGGCCTCTTTGTGCTGGTCTGGGCCTGTAATGGTATGGAGAGGAGTCTTGCTGAAGCCAGGATCCCGGGATCCATCCTACCGGGCTCTGTGCCAGTACACCGGTCCTCCCTCTCCCCTTTGCTAGCTACTGATCAGACCCGATCTGACCCGCCGCCGCCGCCGTGTTTCTCATAGGGATTCCTGGCTGCCCTAAGCCCTAGCCCCCTGCCAGGCTGTAAGGGAAGGAGGGGGCTAGGGACTTGAAGAGTCACTTCCAGCCACTCCCTCCCAGGGGAGGGTGTGGGTCCTAAAATAACCTACCTCCCCCAACCCTAGTTAAATAACCTCCCTCCTCGCCTTCCCTTGGGTCTGTCCGGGCAGGTCCTGCCTCCAACTTGTTAGAGAGGAAGGGGCCTGTTCTCCCCAAGAGGTGGAAACTGCTGGAAAGTATGGAAGGGAGACACCCCAGGAAAAGGCAGTGGGCAGAGACGGGGAGAAACGGAGCCACAGGGAGCCAAGGGATGCGAGCCAGCAGAAGCCTGAGCCGACGGCGGAGGGGAAGGCCTGCGGTGGAGGTGGGGAGCCCCCAGACTGCCTCTGGAACGGAGTGGGGCAACGCGAGAGCCAGCCCGGCGGTCTGAGCTGGCGCCCCAGCTCGCCGGTCCCTCAGTCCCGAAACTCAAAGTCAGTTACGTAAGGGCCCGAAAGCGGCGGGGTTCCAGCCGGGGCGTCCCCCCGCCCCCCCGCCCCCAACCAGCGCTGCGGCGGGCAGGACCGGCAGGGCCGGTAGGGCGGGGTCGCGGCGGCCTCCGGCTGCGGCGCTCCACGAGACCGGCTCGCGGGAAGCGAAGCCCGGACCCCCGACCCGGGCAGGCCGGCCCGCCAGCGACGCCCGTCCTGCTCCGGCCACGAGCTCCCGCACTCTCTCGCCTCGTGTCCGTGCCCCTGCCGGGACCCCGAACTTCAGACGCGGAGCCCCTCCGCACCCGCACCTTGGACCCTGCAGCCCCGGAGCCCTGAAGCGCCTTCCCCGGAGCCAGAGGTGCCCCTGCGGACCCTTAGACCCTAATCTCGCCCCTCCCAGAAGGGCCAGCGCCCTGGCGGGGAGTGGGGGGCGTCAATAGGAACCGTACGCCGTCCCCCCGCCCCGGGGGCGCTGGGATCACTCCCCAGGTGGCCCAGGCTCACCTGAGTGGGTCGGGCCGGGGACCTGGCCGCGCCAGGCAGGGCCACCTTCTCGCTCCCCGCCGCTCTCGCCCTTTAAGAGGTTCCTGCCACTTTGCCCCGCCGGGGGCCTCCACCTGCACTGACAGGGCAACTCCGACGCGAGGCCCCGCCCCGGACCCGCGAGGCCTTCTGATTGGTACAATCAACTGCCAATCGGCCGGGCGGCGGGGCGGGCGGGGCCGAGGAGTACAAGTGTCGCAACCGGGAAGGGGTGGGGGCTGCAGGTGCCGCCTGACACGGGCTCCCAGCTCCTGGCAGCCGCTAGAAAACCAGGGTGGGCTGGTAAGGGCCGGCCGGGGAGTTCCCATATTGGCCAGTGTTGCCTCTGACCTCATACGGCGAGAGCATGATGCAATGTGCCACGTGGTACTACTGCCCCAAGGGTACTAGGTAGGCAGGCAGGGGGTGGTCTTGGGGACTTCGATAAGTGGCCAGACTCACCCACATCACCAGTGCCAACATTTCAACCAGTGTGGCCATGGCAAGTCACTTCTCGGGCGCAGAGTTTCCTCACCTATTAATCTTACAATGTTTTCCTGAGACTGCGCGCTGGGCTCCTTCAACTCCCATACAAACGAGAGTTCCCCTGAGCTGTAATTGAGTCCCGGGCTGGGTACTGGTTTGGGTTTATAGGTCGTTGTTGCCCTTCACAGGTCTGGCACACAGTAGGTGCTTAGGAAGTGCGTTCTGTCTTTCTTTTTAAGGACCTTTCCCTCCTACTGATCCATCTCTTCCGAGGTGGAAGGAGCTTATATGGTCAGCGGTCGAAAGGCAGCCCAGCCCCTTGCCTTCAGTGAATTCCAACTCATAGGACCCTACCTACAGGACAGAGTCGAACTGCCCCCACCCACGGGGTTTCCAAGGCTGTAATCTTCACAGATGCAGGCTGCCACATTTTTCTCCTGCGAAGCGGCCTGTGGGCTCGAAATGCCAACCTCTCTTAGCAGCAGAGAGTTTAACCACTGCACCACCGAGGCTCCTCCAAGTCTCCCCCACCACCTCACTTCAGACTCGTGCTCACACACCTCCACTGTAGAGAACTCACAACTGCCTAGAAAGGTCGCTTTCCCTTTTAAACCGTGCTGACACTTTGCATGGGAGAAAGAGGAGGCTTTCTACTCCTGTGAGGAATTATAGTCTCGGACACTCACAGGGGCAGTCTAGCCTGTCTTATAGGGTTGCGATGAGTCAGAATTGACTGATGGAATAAGTTTGAGACTTCTCAAATGTTTTCTCTTCCCTCTAGGGTCTTTGCTCACAGAGAAGAAACCTGGTCCCTGTTCTGAGGAACCCCGGATTTACAGGCATGCACCACAGAAAGTCAATCCCTTCTTTGAAATAACCAGTCAAGCCAAGGACACCCCAGGACAAGTGACTCCTATGATTTCAGTGGGCTTCCTTTTGATGGGCAATAGAGTCAGACACTACTGGAGCCCTGGTGACACAGGATTTAGAAAGCTTGGAAACACACCAGCTGCTTCGTGTGGAGATTTATTACCCATGAGACTCTGGGCCAGTGGGGCTTTGCCCTATAAAGTCACTGAGTTAGAACTGACTTGCCAGCAATGGTCTGTTGTTTGTATGTTTGTTTGTTTGCAGGCTGGTTGGAGGACAGCACTGCATTTACTATCTGTTACTTTGAGCAAGCTACTAACCTCCAAGCCAGTTTCCAACAACATCAAATAAAAACTAATAAAATTTAAAACTTACTACCATTGAGTTGATAGGGAGCCCCAGTGGCACAGTGGTTATGAGTTGGGCTGTGATTTGCAAGGTCAGCAGTTCAAAACCAACAGCGACCCCTCCTCCCCCTCCGTCTCTCACCTCACCCCCCACCCCCAGACTTACTGCCCAGTGATTAAGAGCGTGGTCTTTGGGGGTTAGTTGACTTGGCTCTACACTTGTCCAACTTCCTGCCCATGGATAAGTTGCTTCTTTGGGATAAAATTGGATTAATAACAGTCAGCACTAACTTTATAGAGAGCTGATGAGAAAGTTAAATGAAAGTGTGTGAAAATATTTATGCAAATAGACAATGAGGAGTTTAAAATTATTTTTTAATTGCTCCCACATGTATTCATTCACCTGGGAGAGAGCAGATTGAACTACAAGATATAGTCTCCACAGACAAGCCCTTTCTCTAGAAACCTGGATTCCTGGCCGGCCTCTCCTACCAGAGGGGCGGGGAGAGCAGCCCTCAGCGAGGTGGACCCGGCTATTTTAATAAGCTGCCGCAGGCCCCGCCCCCTCTCTAATAGGGGCGGCCACGTGGCTCAAGCTCCAGTCAGGCGGAGTTGCCTGTGGGTGACTCAGCAGTGCCAGCACCTGCCCCAGCTTGATAAGTGTGTGTGGGTATTGGTATTGGGGAGAGGGGTGAATTGGTGTGTGAGGTCAGTTTCTAGAAAGGACGCAAGTTCTTTCTCTCTGTGTCATATAAACAAGGTGTCCCCAGACCCTGGGGCCCCAGAGAGCACTGCCCTGCTCCAGTGACACAGTCAGGCACCTGGGAGTGGGTAGTTTCTTGTTGGAGTGGCTTGTGCACCTGTCTGGGTCACTGCCCAGACTCCAGCCCTCTTCCCCAGAGCCACTGTCTCCGACATCTCAGCCTCCACCTCCTGCCCCAGGCTGTGGGGAGCAATTTGCTCCCTGAGATGCTGAGAGAGTGAAGGGAGACCTGAGAAGCAACTCCCATTGACTGACCATTATGATTTATCTCAAGGACAACCACCCCACCCCCACCCCTGCCATGGCATGTGGGTTAAATGTTGGCTGCTAATCCCAAGGTGGGCAATTCAAACCCACCAAGCTGCTCTTTGAGAAAGATGAGAGTTGTCTCTTCCTATAAAGATCTACAGTCTCCGAAACCCTAAGTGCCGTTCTACTCTGTCCCAGTAGAGGTCCGACAGAAGCACTCTACTCAGTGGCTGTGGGTGCTGCTTGTCATATGGAATCATTATGGTCAAAGGGTTTGCGAGTGACAGCCCAAGGTCACACAGATCTGAAGTCTTAGAGGCCACCTGTCCTCCCAGGCAGAGCACCCAGTTCTCCTGGGGCCTGTGGGAGGCTGATAAGCTTGGGGAGGCAGGGAAGGAGCTTGTTTGTGTCTCCCCTTCCTCCTCTGGGTTGCTGATGCCGGCTCCTTATCCTGCGAGAGCCTGCCTGCTGACACCAGCTCTGAATGGTCTTGAGTGGAGTGATAAGGAGGCCAGGGGACAGGAGGGAGGCAGGGCAGATGGACGAGAGCATCCATTCCATCAACAAAACTTTATTGAGCACCTAAATGAAAGAATGAGCTACTCAATCTCTGTCTAGTTGTCTGGTCTAGAGGGGAAAGAGTCATCCCCCAGGCCACCTGGAATAGGGGGTGACAAAGGGGGTGCTCCAGTGTGAGGCTGTGAAGGAGAGGAGGGAGAAGTAAATACTTGGAATCTGTGGTAGACTTGAATCCTGACTCCATTGTGGATCGAGATTAATCTCACGTTGTCTGCCCTTACCAACCCCAGGATGCTGCCAGTGCTAGGTGCAGGCTGGTGGGTTCCTGCTCAGAGTGACCCCATGGGCCAGAAGGGAACTGTCCCCTAGGGGTTTCTTGGCGATAATCTTTATGGAAGCAGAGGTCTTCCCCCTGAGGAGCCACTGCGGGTGGGGAGTGGCCAAACCTCTGGTATAGCAGCCGGGCAGCATTTAACCTAAGCATACTAGTTGTTCCTGGTGGGCTTCATGGCTCCCAAGGGAAAGCTGTCTGGAGGCAGTGACCTTCTAGCTGGACTTTTGATGAGCTCCCTAAAAGGAACCCAGGTAGAAAGTACAGCTTCCCCAAAGGCCTGGGCGCCGGGTAGAGCTCTTGTTCTCTGGGACTGGAAAATGGGCTGGTGTGCTTGGAACATGGACTGAATCATGTGACCAGAGGGTGGCAGACCTTCAGTGGCAGGTTAAATCACAGAGGGCCAAACACCTGGGGACAATGAGGAGTCTTTGTGACATGCATGCTCTAGCTGGGGGTGGCAGTCATTTTCAGGGAGCTGGGAGACAGAGCCGGCTGGTCAGGTACCCCTCCCAGGGGGGATGCATTTTATGCCTGAAATCAATGACGGGAATGCTATCCAGGTGGGCAAAGAACTGCAGCGGCCCCTCCCAGGTTGGCAGGGGAGGAGGAGAACCCGGGCACCTGTCTCCGAGGAATAGCTAAGGACCTGTGGGAAGGCCCCAGTGCCCAGGAGATCTCTGGGTTTGCACCTGTGTGAGGCGGGGGCTGAGGTCACCAGGGAAGGGACGGTCACTAGAAGTCCTGGTGTAAAACAGCAATCGGTGATTAAACCCAAGCCAAACTCACTGCCATCAGACTGGAGACTGGATGGCTGCGCACTTGCTGTGTTTTACTGTTTCCATCCATTTGGTGGCGGAGGACAGTGAAGCTGGGCGGTGAAGTGACGGCCCAGCCAGTCCGCAGCAACGCCTGGGCTTGGGGGCCGCTCGGGCGAGCGCAGGGAGCGCAGGAGGGCACTGCAGGTGTTGGGGCGTAGTTGTGACGCCGGCCCGCAGGGCCGAGAGCCGAGGGGAAAAAAGGTGGTCAGTGCCGCCACCCAGCGGCCACAGGGCGACCGAGCGGAGACCTCCCGCACTGCCCGCTCCAAATAAGGGAAGCGGTACCATGGGGCTTTCTAGGGTCCTAGCTTGCGGTCCCCGCTCACCACAAGTGGATGTGAGGCCCTTGAGCAGCGGTCATCCACCTGTGGGTCGAACGACCCTTTCACAGGGGTCGCCTAAGGCCATCGGAAAACACATCAATATTTCACCATATATAATTTACATATTGTTTTGTGATTCATCACTACGCTTTCATTATGTTCAATTATGTTCAATTCGTAACAATGAAAAGACATCCTGCGTATCAGATATTTACATGACGATTCATAACAGTAGCAAAATGACAATTATGAAATAGCAACGAAAATAATCTTATGGCTGGGGGTCACCACCGCATGAGGAACTGTATTAAAGGGTGGAGGCATTAGGAAGGTTGAGAACCACTGCCCTACAAAGTCCCTTATCCTTCTTCCTCATCTCTTCTCCCAGTGCCTTTGAGAGCAGTAGAGAGATCATCTTTACTCTGGTGGAAACCACTGGTCTTTCTTCTGTGCAGTTGGGGAGACTAGGTGTCCAAAAGGCACATCCTGGTTTGGGGTGGGGTGGGTGGGTGGGGATGACGTTTATTTGGGCAGGGGACGGGGCTTCTTTAGGAACGACTGCAAAATTAGGAATGCTGATGAGTAGCTAGTTAATGCTTGAGGATGCTTGTGGGCAGGAGGGGAAGCAGGAGTGGAAAGAGCCCGTGGTTTTAACTGCACGTTTTACCGACAGAGGTGACCTTGTGGGCACATTGTCAGGGTCCCTCCCAGGGCCTGGAGAAGTCAAGCATGAGGTCTGCAACAGGGGATTTGGGATTTCTGAAGCCAGGTGGAACCTGGGTGCATGTCTTTCAACCACCTACCAGGAAGGCTCCCCTCCCCCTCCCCCCTCCCCCTGCCACCTGGAACTGAGCCCATGCTCAGTGCTTCTGCACAGCCATATCCTGAGAGGACAGACAGCTCAGGAATCTCTCTGGTCATCCAGTGGAATCTTCTTTTGCCTCTTAGGTCAGGCCCAGCCCCACAAGCCCCTGGAAACCTCTTCTGACTGACCTTGCCTCCCCGGCAGTGCCAGCACCATTGTTGCCTTTGGTCAGTACACAGTCATTGTCTGCTCCCTGGTAGTGTGGGTGGCACCCAGGGTGGTGTCCCACTGGACATGTCCTAGCCCCACTTCCTGCAGCCAGGCCAGTAGGTACTATGGGGAGACCCAGAGCCAGTCCAGCCCCGCCTCCCCCTCAAGCTCACAGCCTGCAGGGTAGGTGAAACCTGACCTGAGACTTCAAGCTTTTAGGGCTAAGAAAAAGGTCAGCTAGTGCAAGTGGTTGTCTAAACTCTTTTGGCCAAAGATGCCTTCTTCTTCTTAGCTAATCCAGACATTATACCATTCCATGGTTCAATCAAGCAGTCCTGTACAATCGCTGCCAAAATCAGTTTTAAATATTTTCTTCCTTCTTGAAGTCCTTGAAATCAGCTCCTCCTTACCACCCCCACCCTTCACACCACACCCCCAGGAACCCATATTCTATTTGTTGTCTCTGTAGGTTCATCAATCCTGGGTTCCAGTAAGTCTTTATAGGAGCAAAAGCCTCATCTCCCCCGACCCCAGAGCAGTTTGTAGATTTGAACAGTTGACCTTGCAGTAAGCAGTCCAACACTCTTTTGAATGCATATGCACCCATTGAAAACACCTTGGCCTGGGTCAGAAGTACCTTCATGGTTAAAGTGCTTTTTAACACCTTAAAGGGATCTTTCATATATA